GAATTGCTGCCAGGTTGACCTCTTAGCAATGAACTGCTACCTAGTTGACCTCATAACAATGAACTACTACCTGGTTGACCTCTTAGCAATAAACTGCTACCTGGTTGACCTATCAGCAATGAACTGCCACCTGGTTGACCTCTTAGCAATGAACTGCTACCCGTTTGACCTCTTAGCAATGAACTGCTACCTGGTTGACCTTCTTGCTTTCAACTACCTACCTGATTGACCTCTTAGCAATGAACTGCTTCCTGGTTGACCTCTTAGCAGTGAACTGATGCCTGATTGACCTCGCAGCAATGAATTGCTACCGGGTTGACCTCTTAGCAATGAATTGCTATCTAGTTGACCTCTTAACAATGAACTGCTACCTGGTTGACCTCTTAGCAATGAACTGCTACCTGTTTGACCTCTTTGCTTTGAGCTACCTTGATTTACTTCCTTGCTATGACTGGCTTTGTTGATAAATCTCATTATAAGGACCAATGCAACCCTTGTATGCTATTGGTGGTTTTGAACATATAAAACTGATATAAAAAATAGTCCGCAATTGGAACTGAAATTGCCAAAGCCTAAAAGTACCTAAAAACCAGTGCTTATATTGCCTGATATGATTTTTTTCGGCAAAAAGTGAAATCAACTACTAAATGTTAAACTTATAAATGTAGTTTAATCAAATATTAAAATCGCCTCGTAGCGGCAAAACTTAATTTTTCATGTAGCTGATCCCAATAAGATAAAGACCCATTTTTTTTGGGGTGGGGAGCTCTACAAATCTCCTGTTCACATTCAGAAAAAAGATAAAATTTACACAAATTTGGGTCAACCTACTGTATCTATTTCCAAGAGTAAACATTAATTATTTGTGTAAATCTAAAATGTCTTAACTTTGCTAATTGTTAATATTTTTCCTGAGTCGTTGAATTTGCTGAAGAAGGCTCCTAAAATGTAATAAAATGACAATATGTCGAAGAACTTTGATATTTGAATCATGGTAGATCAAAAACCCAAAGTCTGAAATATCAATGGCTCACACCATCATGTTGCAAAGATATCGGGATTATAAAATGCGAGTTTGTGCCATTAACGCACACATTTTAAAATTTTTTTTCAGATTCCGTTTTAATAGCTGGATTTTTTTAGTTTCCGGAATGGAGACCACATTTTTCCGGTTTATACAGTGAAAATCGGAATTTTTCTGGTTTATGGAATGAAAACCAGAATTTTTCAAGTTCAAATAATGGATTTCAGGGATTTTTTTCGATTTTTTCGGTTCATCCTGAACACTAACCTATTCTCCATGATGAGATGATCAACATCCAAACTCTGTTCAGGTTCAAGGCTTAGAAGGTTCTGCAGTTCAGTACACAACCGTACATTCTACATAAAACAGGGATGTTTTCAGGAATAAGTTCAGGGGGGGGTGCCAAAAAAGGCCCTTAAACCATAGATTTCATTGATCCAGGGGGGGGGGTTGAGCCCCCAAAGTTTCCCCCGTTGAATACACCTCTGGATGTATCAATAGTCCAACATCCTTAACCAGGCCAAAGTTTAAAGGGTTCTGTTATGAATCAGACATTTAAAATAACGCCTAAAATCATTTAAGTTTGTATATTTACATTGTCAGAAGAAATTGAGGCGTTGCATTTAATCCCTCAAATATAACCGAAAACGCTAAAAAAAGAATTTGACAAAATCTTTAAAAATTTTAATTTAAAAAGCTAGAATCAATAACATAATGATGGTTATTTTATTTAACTTTTTATCTTGAAATTTAACAAACGATCTTATTAACATTATTTTGAAAAATGACTATAAATATTTTTTAGAATTGCATACTTTTTTAGATATAGAGAAATGACGACAAAATCGGCATTGCCAAATAGATCGTCAAGTACATTAGATGGCAACGTAGAATTTGTACACTCTCAGTACAGCTGTATTCTTACGCCACAAGTGTCAACTCAGTTTTTCTGTCCGACAAAATCATTAATAATAATGATAATTTTAGAATAAAGAGCTTATCTTACAGTGAAATAAGTGCAATTATATTTGTTCTTTATTTTCAGTTTTTAAACATTTTTATTGAATCTTGGAAAACATGTCAACTATTATTGTGAGAAAATTTAGTTTTCCTTGTTATCTTTGACACATGTGACGTCGTGTATCATTAGTCCATTTCTCTGTTGCCACCTATTGTACTTGATAATCTATTTGTGCATTGCTACTCGAAAAGGTTAAAAGCCATTGTCTGTGTATTGCAGGCCATGCATGCCTGTTTAAATGGAGAGTCACTTAAATTACACCCTTCAGATATAAACATTTAAAAAACTCACCTTTTCTTGAAGTTGATTTTTTTCATCCTGTAGATCTTCTTTCTGATCCAGCAAAGACTGGATGTCTAGCTTTAGCTTAGAATTTTGGACCTAATTCAAATTTTATAATTTTTGATTTTTTAAAAGAACATTACCGATTATTTTTACTAGATTTAGCTCAGAGTTTTGAACCTAAACCATTTGGTTACATATTTCATAATTTTAGTTTAAAGTTTTGCACCGAATTCAGGGGTTTAATAAATTTCTTATTTTAGTTAAAGTTTTTCACCTAATTCAGGGGTTTAATAAATTTCTAATTTTAGTTTAAAGTTTTGCACCGAATTCAGGGGTTTAATAAATTTCTTATTTTAGTTTAGAGTTTTGCATTGAATTCAGGGGTTTAATAAATTCCCTAAGTTTAGTTTAGAGTTTTGCACCTAATTCAGGGGTTTAATAAATTCCATAAGTCTAGTTTAGAGTTTTGCACCTAATTCAGGGGTTTAATAAATTCCTTAAGTCTAGTTTAGAGTTTTGCACCGAATTCAGGGGTTTAATAAATTTCTTATTTTAGTTTAGAGTTTTGGACCTAACTCAGGGGTTTAATAAATTTCTTAAGTAAAGTTTAAAGTGTTGCACCTTGTTTAGGGGTTTAATAGATTTCTTTAGTTTAGTTTAGGGATTTGCTCCGAATTCAGGGGTTTAAGAAATTCCTTAAGTTTAGTTTAGAGTTTTGCACCTAGTTTAGGGGTCTAAGTAAAAATTGGAATACCTTGTTGAATATTTCCCTTTTCCCTCCTAACAGATAAATTGATTGCATTAGATTAAAAAACTTTAAAAATTTCTATTTCGTTGAAATTTGAAGTAACTCTCTGCAGTTCACAGCGGCACTCTTTAAACGTTATCTGATCAATAACGAGGGAGATATCACCGTTATTCTAGCTTCACAATGGAGGGTCAATTAAAATAATGTGAACAGTCCCTTTAAAAATTAATAAAACCAATGTATTCCTTAATATTCTGAGATCCTCTTGTGCATCCTCATATCGCAAACTGAATGATAGTTTTAATTTTAAAAATAATCATTGAAAAAAAAAACAGAAAAGATTTTGCCACAAACTCTAATTATCTAATCCTTATATTTTTGCACCCCAATGTCGAATAGTTTAGATATTTCAAAAAGAATAATGTTTTTTGGTCCCAATGTAGAATATGTGTTTTTTGGTCCCAATGTAGAATATATGTTTTTTGGTCCCAATGTAGAATATATGTTTTTGGTCCCAATGTAGAATAATGTTTTTTGGTCCCAATATAGAATATATGTTTTTTGGTCCCAATATAGAATATATGTTTTTTGTTCCCAATGTAGAATATATGTTTTTGTTCCCAATGTGGAATATATGTTTTTGGTCCCAATGTAGAATATATGTTTTTGGTCCCAATGTAGAATATATGTTTTTTGGTCCTAATGTAGAATATATGTTTTTCGGTCCCAATGTAGAATATATGTTTTTTTTGGTCCCAATGTAGAATATATTTTTTTGGTCCCAATGTAGAATATATATGTTTTATGGTCCCAATGTAGAATATATGTTTTTTGGTCCCAATGTAGAATATATGTTTTTAGGTCCCAATGTAGAATATATGTTTTTTGGTCCCAATGTAGAATATATGTTTTTTGGTCCCAATGTAGAATATATGTTTTTTGACACAAAAAAGAAGAAAAAAAGTTTAACAAGTGTAAAGTTAGGAAAACTAGTTTTACAAGCATTCAATTTAAATATTAATGGTGGAGTGCAGTAATATAATAGAAAATCTGAAACACTAGAGATTTATCACGTCAAGCTAAAGTAAATTGTAAGTAAAATCGAAATCTAAAGTTTTCAATCATAATTCCCTGAAGTGCTATTGGGAAGAAAAAAATGTTTTAAATTTCTAATATGTATCCGGAAATCTTTGCTTTTCTCAAACTTGTCCACAAAATTCAAACTGGAGGAGCTATAAGAGGTCACAATGTCGTGCCAGTATGCTGCATAAATTTGACCTTCTCCCTTTGTATTAGTTTACAGTGTTGTTCAACAGTAATGTCCAGCTCAGCAAAAAAAATGACCTAATAGAAGAGGTGCTAAAACTAAACCATTCTCTCTCATTCTTCTCTTGTGTTAGTTTGTCATCAGCCTGTAAAATAAGTAAAACATTTAATTTGTAAAAATATAAGAAAATAAAAAAAATAAAACAATTAGAAATATAAAATATATAAAAAAAATGTGAAGATTATAAAAAAATGTCAATTCACAGGAAATTGTGAAAAATGTCGTAGACTAACAAAGAATAAACAAAAAAACAAATGTAAGAGAATATGAAGAAAAATTATAAAAATTGTATTTTTATTTTTAAAATTGAAGCAAAATGTTAAAAAGAATTTACCTTTAAACCTAGTTTTCTATTTTCTTCCTGAAGAATAGATACAGCTTCAACTTTACTCTAAATAATAGAGAATACTTTAAATATTCTATAGTAAGGCCACAGAACAGGTAGTATAGAATCAGCACTGACGCGGACCGCCCTGCCTGATTGGCTCGAAAGGGATTTACTAATCATACAGCTGCATATAAATGTATATTTCTGAGTAATCAATCAATCAACCTGTAGAGTTTGGGATTAATGTATATGTTGTGTACATTATTGTTTGCATAAAGCTCTCCACAGTGGGTCCAGTGCTTCCGGGGAGGAGAACTTAATCATTTTTCATACAAGTTGCGGCATTGAGTACTTTCAAACGACACGTACCGACTTGTCAGACACCGGTACGCGTCAGTACTGGCTCTATACTACCTGTTCTGTGAGTAAGGCCCAAATGCAAGAAAACGACATTTAAGCAATGTTACGTGTATCTAATTGGCGTTGTTAGTAGCTTGCAAACCCAAGTGAAATTAGTGTGTGTGCACTATACATAACATTTGCTGTGTTTCATCTTTATTGAACTATTTAAAGTCATAACTTCTATCTAACAGTCGTCTTCCTATTCCAGAGTTTTATGAGAGAAAAAGCAATTTAATAATAATTTATTAAAACAGTTTTGGTATTTTTAAAAAACTTAAAAGATACGAAACCATTTTGATGATTATGATTAAGAATGCTTCTTTTAATAATTGTTCCTGCATCCGTCCTTGTTATTAGAACAGTAAATTGAAGAATTTTTTTCTTAAAGTTTGTTCAAAATTTATCTATTTTTTTTCTTTACTAACTTATTAACAAACCTGAAGCTGTTTCCGGAGTACACTGTTTTCTGCTTTAAGTACATCAATATTTTCCTGATAACAACGATATATTAAAGGGACTATCAACGTTAATTCCAATAAGTACACGATTCAAGACGGTAAGTAAGATTTACATAGCCATTCTCTTTAAGTTAATCATTTCCAAAGTACAGGGTATCCCAATAAACATGCGAATTAAAGAAAAATCGTCACCGATTTCTGATTTTGGATAAATAAAAAAGTGTGTTTCAAAAATAAAGAGCCATTGAAAATGTGGTCTGCCTTCTTTGTATCTACAAACGTGACGGATATACAGGGTGTCCCACGAAACATGACAGTATGCAAGTGGACTTGAATGTCGTCTTGAGTTTTGATATAATTTGCTGTGTTTATTTGTCAACCTAATTTTAGAAGTAAATTTCTAGAGATAATAATCACAAAATTCCCCTAGTCCTGCCATTTCCAAAATGTGGTCTGCCTTTTTTGTGCTTTCAATATTGCCCGACATATAAAGAATTTCGTTCAGATTTCGACAATTTTGCTTTTATTTAACAAAATTGAAATCTGAACCAAACTCTTTATATCTCCGGTAATATTGAAAGCACAAAAAACGCAGACCACTTTTTGGAAATGCCAGGGCTAGGAGAATTATGTGATAATTGTTTCAAGAATCATACATGTTAAAGTAGATAGAAGACTAAATGTCACAACTAAATTCATATATCAAAGACGACTTTCAAGTCGTCTTGCTATTGTCATGTTTCGTGGGACACCCTGTATTAAACAATTAAACAATTTCATTGTTATAGTTAATAAATCAGAATCTAGACGGTTTTCTAAATACCAATTTTGAAATTGCCATATATATGGTAAACCACATTTTGGAATTCCTAGACTAGCAGTTGAATTATAAACTGTTTTAACGGGAATACTACAAAAATAGTGTTCACGTAATAATACCACGCGCGCAGAACAAAGACGATAGAGAAGTTGTCACGTAATTCCCATGTTTATTAGAATACCATGCTATAAAGGTTTGAATTGTGAATCGGGGGTTTAATTTTTAAATGGATGGTAATTTTAAATTACTCAAGTTGAACTCTGATCAGAGTTACCCACAAAGACGATCTGAGACTCTTTAAAAATGACGTTTTTAAGGTTCAATTAAGTATTCTGCAAATTAAGTATTGGGCGAGAAAAAGTTACTATTTTTCTATTGTGTAAAAAGTACATAACCGACATGGTCAGGGGTGGATCTAGTTAAGGAATTAGCAATGAGAGTGAGTATTTTAAGCGCTCAGAATAGAAAATTACTGGTAAAATATGTAAAAAATATTGCCACCAGAATTGTACTTTTAAATTTTTTGTTCTGGCACCATGAAATATATTTACATATGAAAGGATAGCAAGTAAATTAGGTCGAGCATATATCTCATTTCAGAAAAAAAAATTATTTGTAAAATTTTATCATTAAGGGGTGTGCAATTTTGTGAAATTTGAATTCTTCTTGGAATTTTGAGGCATAATATTAAAATGCATTTTTTATCAATAGTGGCTCCCTAGGGTTTAAGATAAAAATGTAAATAAATCACTACTGTAAATGAAAATATAATTTTTAAAAGCTTTTTGAATAGGGTATATTAATAAATTCTTTGTGAAAACCGGAGCTCTGAAACATTTTAAAGAGTTTAAAAATATTAAAAAAAAACAGTTTTAAAAATACTCATGCATTGAATATCTGTTTAAATTTTAAGTTTTCATTTGTATTCGCGTTTTTTATGCATTTTGTATCATTACAATCTATTTTTGGGGAGCCATTTCTGAGTTTTGAAAACATTTTCTTTTTAAACATTAGAAACATAAGAATTCCATGAATTCTAATTTTGCTTTTGTAAAATTTCTAAAAAAATGTTACAAAATTTTCCACTCCCACTATATCGTTCTGATGTTGTTTTATTGCTGTTAAAAAATATAATGTGTTTCAATCCTAAAATCTTTATGAGTTTAATTTTTAAGAAAGGAAATAATCATATTCAATTACTTACAGTGTTGGTTAAAACTTAAAATCTACAGTAAACTTTTAAGCTGATCTTTAGAAAAGGGGGGGTTCAAAAGATACCCTTGACCACCACTTTTTTTCCTAAAAGGAGGTCTTCGACCCCTTGACCCAGCTCCTGTATCCGCGCCTGAATTGGTGTAAATTCCATACTGTCATCTCTGAAGTGTCATCTTTTGTGGGGTCACCCTGTGAGGCTGTGCGTATAATTCTATAATATGGTCACAACTTGCGTAAATTGGTGACAAAAACTCTCATTTAATTCCTAACGATTTTTTTATCCATATCGAATTATGCATATATCTTACCGATATAATATCATTGGTGTATAGATGAGAAGTAAGCATACTTCCAAACATTCAAAATCGTTCTGAAACTGTTTATAACTGTCGTATGTTCTATATATCTGTTTATTTGAAATGATATGAATAAAGCAGATGTTTTTAGAGGTTCAGCTGTTTCTGCAGATTATCGATTTGTTTACAGCCAACCAGTTGAATCCTCCTTTCTAAAATATCTGACCAATGGAAGGCGACATTTAAACTTCTAGTTTCCCAGATTTTTCAAACTTTCTCAAGAAGACGACATTTGATAGAATTCTGGAGGATTTTGGGTATCATCTGGTTTGTATTGATTAGTAACACAAGACTAGGAAGATTGAGAAGATGGAGAACATGTTTTATATTCTTCTTCTAAATTTAGTTTTCATGGGTAAGCATTGTTAAAATACTTCAATTTCAACAAGTAAAAAACGTTAATTTGCAGTCGATTTTTTGATTCGACTTTTGGACTTCTATGGTTTTCATTTTTTAACCAAGATTTAAAAAAAAAAAAAATTTTTTTGTTTTTCTTTTCAACACTCTTCAGAAAAAGTTTTAAACAAAAATATAATTTATTTACATCATTTGGTGTTGCCTCTTCAAAGTAACAAAAAAAGACCATTTCAAACGAATCAAAAATTATTAAATGATTCTTTTTTTCCCGCAGGTGTTAAGTGTGAGCTGGCTCCCCTTTCATTCATCCCGGAGGATCTTTTACATTATTTTCATGTAAATATCTTTAAAATCGTATTTACAGAAGATAGGTACTGTAACTGTTTGAATTTAAGAAGAAAACTGTTGGACAACAACTTTAATATTTAGCAGTCCATTGTTACATAAAACGCAGCAAGTCTTCTTTAATTCTCACACTTTAATTGGCCTCACATTAATAAAAAAAATAAAAAATAAACTTACAATCAGAAAAGTATAGCTGCCTAAAAGTCAAGTCAGATATATGCAATGAAGTGGAGTTTTTAGTGATTGTACGTGGGTTCTTTAAGAAAGTCACTTGTGGATTTTTATATTGAGCCAAAGAGAAAAATTGTTAGAATTAAACCCTTTTAAAATAGAAAAACCACGATAAGATAATTAATGGTTTAAAGTAAAACATTTTTGAGTAGAATGGCTTTTGATTGATTGATTGATTGATTGTTTGATTGATTGGTTAATTAATTGATAAATAAAGTGACTAATTTTTTGATTGTTTGGAAGATTTGAAGATTAATTGATTGATTAATTGTTCAGCCGGAAACTCTGCTTGAAAGTCGTCTTTATCCTGGGGAAGTTGAGACAAGGCAAAGGCGAGAAGTTGAGGAAACTAGTTCCTTGGAACCAAATATATTTACTGTATCCCATACACATCTAGGTAATCCCATGTACAGCTATATAATCCCATACACATCTAGGTAATCCCATATACAGCTATATAATCCCATACACATCTAGGTAATCCCATACACATCTATATAATCCCATACATTGCTAGGTGATCCCATAGCTAGGTGATCCCATATACAGCTATGTAATTCCATACACAGCTAGGTAATCCCGTACACAGCTAGTTAATCCCATATACAGCTATATAATCCCATACATAGCTAGGTGATCCCATACATACATAGCTAGGTGATCCCATATACAGCTAGATAATCCCATACATAGCTAGGTGATCCCATACATAGCTAGGTAATCCCATACATACATATCTAGGTGATCCCATATACAGCTAGGTAATCCCATAAAAAGCTAGGTAATCCCATAAAAAGCTAGGTAATCCCATATACAGCTAGGTAATCCAATATACAGCTAGGTAATCCAATATACAGCTAGGTATTCCCATACACAGCTAGGTAATCCCACTCATAGCTATTTGATCCAATACATAGATATATAATCCCATGCACAGCTAGATAATCCCATGCAAGACTAGGTAATCTCATGCATAGCATGGTAATCCCATACACAGCTAGATAATCCCATACACAGCTAGGTAATCCAATATACAGCTAGGTAATCCAATATACAACTAGGTAATCCCATATATAACTAGGTAATCCCATATATATAGCTATGTAATATACTCCTTTTCTTGAATGAACGCTGCAACACAATTATATATTATTTGTTATATTATATATTATATATCCATATATTTAGATGAAGCGAGTAAGCTTGTGCAAACCAAGTGTATGATGGTTCAGACAAAAATCAAAATCGAAATTAGGTAAAAATTCTTTAAAATTAAAAGAATTTAAGCTGCTTTTTAACGTAAAATCGATTAATTTATTTTGCAAAATCTAAATTGAAATCAAATTGGAAAGAAAAAAACTTCTTTTAGTGATAAAGTGCACTTTTCTAGGAATCATTTATTTTTGTTTTTTTATTTCTGTTACGTTATTCAATAAAATATTTTTTAAAAAATATATCAGCTTTTTTTATAGTCGGTATCTTGTTTGAAAACAACAATTACTGAACTAAAATAGCATAAAAAGTATCTTTTTAAAGATACAGGGTTAACCACAAAGGAAGGGACTTTAGAGATGAATCAAGTCATGTTTATTTCATTCTTGGTTCCCTCCAACTATAAACATTTTAAACTCTCTGCCAATAGCATATTGTTATGTATCCCACGGCTGTCAACATGGTATGTACTATGTTTAAAATATATCAATTTTATAGTAGTCACACACCAATAAAAAAAACAAAGTAGTTAAACATTTATTAATTATATCTATTAAAAATGCAAAATTAAAATTTAGAAATTATATTAGGAGAAAACTTGAGATTCTCAGGCTCTTGTGGGATATAATCGTTTTTAGATTGGTTGCATATTTGCTGAATATGATCTGTTTAATACTACAACTTTTTATACAAAATTGTATATATGTGAATTTTCGTATAATTTTGACACAGTTTTATATTAATTTCTCGAGACAGGAACATCAGATAGATGTATTAGTATAGGTATCGTTCAACTCCTGAGATTCCCAGGTTTCATCCTATATCCCCTTTCATTTTTCCCTTACAGTCCCTGTAAGAAAGAAGACCAAATTCATCATTCTGATCATTGAATTTTAAAAGTTAAAATTTGATCATCATTAAAGTCTCATCATTTATGGCTAACCCTGTACATGTTTAGGTATCGTCTACGACCTACAGGAGTAGGAAAACGTATTTACACTATGCCAGATATCCCAGATAAGGTAAACTAGTATCTTAATATCGTAGCGGACAGATTTCTTGTAAAATCTAAAACTAAAAATCAGGGATGTCAAAACACGCAAATCCGCGAAAAGAGAATGCCACGTGGAAATCTAGTATTTTTTTTTAACAAGCAATGGATCAAGAAGTTGCCAACTTAACCTAAACGGCCACTTAGGATTAGACTTAAAGCAATTTGAATGTTAAAATATTAATAATTCAAAAATTAAATTTGTATTAGACTTTTCATGAAATTCTAAACAAGCATTCTTGATTAAAGATCAACACTCAATTACTCTAATTTACAAAATTTTGCTGATATCTTTGCTACTTGACTACGTAGACATTTCATATTTGATACAATTTTTTGTTCGTTTATGTTCTTGTTTTATTTATTTTTAGACTGTTTGAAAGAATTTTGCTTAATCAAAAAGTAAAAATTTTAAGTATAAAAAAAGTTCATAATTAGATAAATGTGGCGTAAGATAATCGATGATCATAGGTTGTAATATCTGAATGATTTGTTTGAAACTAAATTGATTTTTTTACGGTCTAAGTCGTATGTTGCAATTTTCTCAATTTGTATGGACACTAAGTTATTCTGAGACGTCTTTAACAATTTTCTCGTTATAAACGCAACAGATAGAAGTAAGATTAGTAGCGATCAAAAGCGCTTTTTTATCGCATTAAGCCTATAGCCCCTTTCATTTTTCGCGAACACTCCCTATACATCTAAATTCTAACCACTTTGAAATTCTTGATTATTACATTCATAAGATTAATCAATATTGAAACTTCCAATTCATAAATGATTAATAAAACTAATTTGAATTATTTTAATTAATCAATTGTTTCAATAAAACACAACTTCAATCAATCAATCAGTCAATCAATTAATCCATCCTTAAGGTGAATGGAACCTGTGCTCTTGAAACAGAAACAGCAACAATGTTCATTTTCTGGCCAGGTCATTCATTCATCAGTTAATTAATATATTAATTCATTGATTCACTAATTCATTAATTTATCAGTTAATGAAGTCATTAATTCATCAGTTAATTAATTCATTTATTCATCAATTAATTAGTTCATTAATTTATTAATTCATTAGTTTATTAATTCATTAATTCATTAAATAATTAATTAATTAAATCAATAATTCATTAAATCATTAATTCATCAGTTAATTAATTCATTAATTCATTAATTCATAAATTCATTAATTCATAAATTCATTAATGCATTAATTTATAAATTCATTTATTCACCTATTCATTAATTCATTTATTCATCAGTTAATTAATTCATTAATTTATTAATTCATTAATTTATTTATTTATAAGTTCATTATTTCATCAGTTCATTAACTCACATATCTATTAATTAAATAGTTCATTAATTCTTTTATTCATTAGCTCATTAATTCATTAATCAATTTAAATCGATTCATTAGATCTTTAATTTAATTATTAATTATTCAGTTAATTAATTCATTCATTTGTTCATTAAGTTATTAATTCATTAATCATAAATTCATAAAAATCACTATTTCATTTGTTAATTATTTCATGAATTTATTTATTTATTAATCTTTATAAGAAAACAAGACATTCGTATATTACATGTATGTTGCATATAGCCGGCCAAACGGCTAGACCGATTGGGCTGAAATTTTTTGTGGACACTCATGGGTAGCCAAGGGTTTTTTGAGGCAAACAAAAATTCAGTAATATTTTAAAAAAATATTCTTTTCAATTTTTTTTCCACAGGCAACACCGGACTCTTCAGCTAGTCATTAATAAAAAAAAATATATTTTTACAATTAAAATGTTGATTCAACAATCTATTGATTTTTTAATTTGTCAAATAATCAACACTCATCTCTTTAAAAAAAAAATTTGGTATATGTTTAAACAAAAAAATTGTTTTTGCACTGTAGGTTTCAATTTGTCCTTGGTGTTTACTAAAAATCCCGAGGGAAACTCCTACTATATGAACAGAGTAAGTATTGTTAACTTTTTTATAGAACTTTTTAAATGATTAAAATTGACGAGAAAATAATATTATGGGAAAAAGTATTTTATATTATATTTCGAATTTGAAATGATTGCAAAATAATTTAAATAATTTTTATATGTTCAGGCAGTTGTTCTGTTGGACAAAAATAACCCTGCGATTAAAAAAGATTTTTCGAATGCTCTCAGAGGTAATATTGAAAACAAGCATATGTTATTCATGAATATTTCTTTTCTTTAAGAGTAAATTCATGTTTTTATTTTTTAGTTATTTACATAATGAAAACTAAGAAGGATTTTTGCTAACTAAAATTTGCGGATGGTTTGCAAGGATCATTTTTGCGGAATTAGACAGCTAAGCACAAAAACAAGTATTCCGCAAACCAGTGCGAATTTTGCCTCATTGTGCTCAGTTGTCACTCGTCCAATTATTTAATTGCAACGCAACAATTAATGTAAAGTTTTTTTCTAGAACTCTATTTTGCGATTTTTTTTCATCCTGCAGATTTCTATAGTTTCGATATAATTCACAAAAACTGGGATGAGCTCAGAAAAATTTGCGGCATTTTACAATAGGAATGTTTGAAACTGCGCATCAAAAAAAAAAAAAACTTTTTATGGTTAGCAAAAATTCAATACTACCTTAAAATATGAGGATACCAAGGTTATTTTAAGTCTTTTAATAACTTTAAAATGATTTGGCAAAGAAAAAAAAAGTTTGAATTGGCAAAGAATCAGGAATATAAGAAACAGACAGCATACATTTGTCTGAAATCTCATTCAGGGTAGCTCTGAAGATCTCTAATATGCTTAATTGCTTCAAATCAATATTCACATTGTCAATCTACCTACTTTTCCTCTTTTTACACTACTAGCTGAAGGGCCCGGCCTTGCCCGTGGACAAATTTTTTTTTTAGCCTATAACACTCCCTATAACACTCCTATAACACTTCAGCCAATTCGGTCCAGCCGTTTTGCCGGCTATAGGCAACATATATATATTTATATATATATATATATATATATATATACGAATGTCCTTGTTTTACTATATAGAAAAAGCTGGATGAGACGTCAGAAATAATGGTATTTCGTACATTTTTGGTTCCTTTTATATTTACTTTTCGTTTCTGTTATTTTGAAAAATAAATGATAAAAAGTAAAAACAGTACAAAATCAAAAAACTATTAATTTCACAGTTTCTACAGATTTATTATCAAGGCTAAAACTACAAATCCATGATGTCAAACCATTTAAATCCGGGAATAGCGATTTCATGAAAAATTATTCTAATCAATGAGAATGAAACCGTATAGAAATAACGGGGTTACAAGATTGTAAGATTTGTATTCTTAGTGGATAGCATATGTATAAATGTATGAAAGTGAATGTATAGTGGTATCCGACATATGTATAAAATGTATGAATGTCAATGTATAGTGGTATCCCTACATATGTATAAAATATATAAAAGTTAATGTATAGTGGTATCCCTACATATGTATAAAATGTATGAAAGTGAATGTATAGTGGTACCCTACATATGTATAAAATGTATGAATGTCAATGTATAGTGGTATCCCTACATATGTATAAAATATATAAAAGTTAATGTATAGTGGTATACCTACATATGTATAAATGTATGAAAGTGAATGTAAAGTGGTACTCTACATATGTATAAAATGTATGAAAGTGAATGTATAGTGGTATCCCTACATATGTATAAATGTATGAAAGTGAATGTAAAGTGGTACTCTACATATGTATAAAATGTATGAAAGTGAATGTATAGTGGTATCCCTACATATGTATAAAATGTATGAAAGTTAATGTATAGTGGTATCCCTACATATGTATAAAATGTATGAATGTCAATGTATAGTGGTACCCTACATATGTATAAAATGTATGAAAGTGAATGTATAGTGGTACCCTACATATGTATAAAATATATAAAAGTTAATGTATAGTGGTATACCTACATATGTATAAAATATATACAAGTTAATGTATAGTGGTATACCTACATATGTATAAATGTATGAAAGTGAATGTAATCTTGTTCTTTTGTTCTTTTGTTCTTTTCTATTTTAAAATTTTCTTTACTTTATTGAATGTTTATACTACGCAGTTTCTCTTTATTATCAAAACAATGATTCTTGAATTTAAGAAGCTAGTAGATGTCTTATTCACAATGAAAACCTTTACGTGTGTTGAAGTTCGAAAGAGATATAGTTGTTTTTCTATGTTGAGTAAAAGCTTCTGACAAAAAGGGAGTAAACACGTTGTGTTTCCAAAATTGGTACAGTTCTTGAAATTTAGTTAAAATGCTGACATTTTGAACAAAGCCTCCAATTGTGGTCACCTTCACGGATCCCTAAGAAAATTTGGAACAGAAAAGGCATTGACCTCCATTTTGACCGTAATAAACTTAAAAAGTAGTGGAAAATTACATATTTATTTAGCTCAACTTTAAAAGTTTAATATTTTTAACAACATAAACACATCTTTTCCATTCTGGCCTCGAAAGACAAATTACAATTCTATGTTAGGTGAACACATTAGTTTTTTTGGTGCATTTAATTGGATTCTATTTGAAGTATCGTTCTTTGTATTTTCATATTCATGACCTCCGAGGTTCAAATTTTAGAAAATATGGTTATATTAGGTATCAAAATATAGATTTTTGTGTTCTGGTCCCGTTCCTAGACCCCTCTTGCCTTAGATGATTCTTTAGATAATATTGACCTCAGGAGTCAGGAGTCAGGACGTTAAAGCCTAAAATCAAGAAATGGGTCATTTTAATTTTTATATTTTTATAAAACAGTGTACTTTATCATTATTACTCACTTCATCGTGAATTTCATAATGAACGTGCTATAAAGTAATCATCAAACTATAATGTTAAATTAGCTGTACATTATAACACGCGTGCTTTAAAGTTTGATTGGTTCCCGGATATTCTCCAAAAAAATTAAGATATTTCCAAAATATTTTTTTCAATTAAATAAAATTAAAATCAACTTTAGAAATTCAATTCTGCTTTTTTTCAAAGCTTATTTGATCTAGAAAAACCCATTGAAATAAGACAAGTACACACACGTTTTCATAAAATTACCATAACACTATTATTTTGGTTCGCAGTATTTTAACTTAAATTTTCTCTATATCTCGAAGGTTCTAGCTTTTTTAGATTATATTTTGTCCCTTGCTAAAGCTTGGGACAAAATTAAATATGAAAGGCTTGAACTTTCTAGATAAAGAAAAAATTTCTGTCCAAAAACTTTAAAACACTGCGAACCATAATAACAGTGTTATAAATAGTTATTCAGTTTGTTTAGGAGGCTGAGGACCAGGGTCCACTCATGCTCTTCAATGTTGTTGACGACGAGGTTTGTTCTAACGAGGGAGGGAAGACATACCACAAAGTTTTTAAATCCGAGCCACAATTTTCTCATCCGAGCCAACTTTAAATACTTCTCCTTGTCTATTTTTATTTTGGCTTGTGAAAATAAAATCACTTTTGAAATTGACTAAATTTTATCTTGTAGAACCAAAAAAATTGCAAGTATAATATTTGGATGTGACTCAGTTTTGAAGAGGAAAATTTGGTAAAAGATGAAAAAATAGGCTGCTGGCCCTTTTTCTTTCTTCCTTGGAATGTACATTAAAATAAGAGCGTTTAGGAAGTTTATCGGGGGTTTATTATCATTATTATATTAATTATTATCATTATTATTATTATTATAATTATTATTATGATTATTAATTATTATTACCAGATTGAAGGCACAATTGAGTTTTCTGAGACAAGATTCCAACCGTTCATGAAACGGGCTGGAGGTATCTGGGGGGATAGGGTTGAGTGTTTACCTAGGTAAATGTAAACAAACTAATTGCAGTACATAAAGATTCTCAGTCAATAGAATTGAACAAAGTCTTTTTTGATTCTTAAAGGGAAGCTTCACGTAAATCATGCTGAATCATGCATTATTCACAACCAGAGTCCGAATTTAAAGAATTTGAGCCGCGGCTAAATTTGAGACTCGGCTCAAATATGGTTGGTTCCACTTAAAATTTTATTCAATGTTTAAAGATTTGCCGGCGCTTAATTGAAACCGGTTTTTGGCGGATTTGAGACGCGGCTCAAATTCATTAAATTCGGACTCAGTAACATCTATATAACAAAGCAAAAATAAGGAAAACATCGTCGTGTTTCCCTTTAAAATTGTTTATTCTTACAATTGGAGTCACATAAAATTACGTCTACAGTCCCTTTAAGAATTTATATAAATTCTGAATTGTTTTAAAATCCATTCATCTAAAAATATTGAAATACAATATCTGTTAAGTGGTTTTTTTTTAATTAGATGCGTATCTAAATCTTCTAAAAATAAAAGCTTCTTAAAAGATTCTTAAGGATTATTAACCAAAATAAAATTAATTTTTATTTCAAACAAGAAATGAGATTTTAGAAAATATTTTCAATTTAAAATGTTTTTGGATTTAATTAATTTCTCTTTATAAAACAATCTTTGATGTTTCTAATTAATTCCCTTTTGCGATTAAATTAACAGTCACAGAGAGAAAATACAAAATTCATTAAATAATGAAAAATTTAATTCACATTGCATATTTTTTTTCCGAAAGAAATAAAAAAGAAAAATAACCAAACAATGAAAATTAAAATGCGACCAAACAAAACAACTGTCAGAACCAAGTTATTATTTTGAATAGTCCAATAAAATTATACATAGCCATTATGCAGTGTGCACATACCCATTTAGATTAGGAAGTTGTTTTGATCTATTTTTTTCAGGTCAATCCGTGATGTGAGAGATACAATGCCTTTTATTTGTGGAAGTCTTGTACTGCTGGTATTAACCCTTTTTTTAAAATCCTAATAAGGCTCAGGGAAAGGGGGGGGTATCCAAACCTATTGGAAGAGGGTTCGGGGGGGGGGAATAAAATCCAAGTATGAAGGTCCTAATCCTATGCATGTTGAAGGGCATATTTTTAATAGACAATTAATTTTAAAACATTTAAAAGTTCGTTAAAAATGTTGCATTGCTTTGATTAAAATACAATTCATTCTTGAAACCGAGCATTAGGAAGTAATGGATGGTTTTTTAACCGAGTATTAGGGAGTAATGGATGGTTTTTTAACCGAGTATTAGGGAGTAATGGATGGTTTTTTAACCGAGTATTAGGGAGTAATGGATGGTTTTTTAACCGAGTATTAGGGAGTAATGGTTGGTTTCTGCCTTATAGAAACCGAGCATTAGAGGTAATGGTCGGACATTACGACTATTTCGTGGAGAGCCCCATTTCTTCATTGGAGACCCCCAGATTATCATTGGAGACCCCAGCTTTTCATTGAGACCCCAGATTTCCGTTGCAGACCCAAGATTTTCATTGGAGACCCAAACTCAATTTATTGGAGACCAAGATTTTTTTGAGGCCGAAAGATTTTCTTTGGAGACATCTGGATTTTCATTGAAGACCCCAGCTTTTTGTTGGAGCCTTACAGATTATCCTTGGAGACCCCAGATTTTTGATGGAGACTTCCAAATTATCATTGGAGACCCCCAGCTTTTAATCGAGACCCATAGATTTGCATTGGACACCCCACACAATTCATTGGAGACTCCCAGATTTTCATTGGAGACCTTAAAATTCATTTGAAACTCTCAGATAGGACTTGGCGTCATTCTTTTATTAGAACGAACAGATTTACTGGCCGAAAAAGAACGGCTACATGCGTTTTTAAAAATATTGGAACGATTATTAAAAGAACGAACGTGGAAGGAACAGAAATCGCTTGAAAACAGCGTTAAAATCAGGAACGCGTTCTTATTATCAGAAACACATTCTAAGTTGAGAACGCATTTTCAACCAGGAACATGCAAGGCGTACTTAGAAGAAAGCAAAAAAGAAATTTACAAAATTATCAAAAAAAATTTAATGAAAAGCTTTAAAATAACTGCCTCCAAATCAAGAATCCCATGCCCCCCCCCCCATGGGATTCTTGATTTGGAGGCAGTTCTTTGAAAGCTTTTCATTAATTTTTTTTGATCATTTTGTAAATTTCTTTTTTCCTTTCTTCTAAGTTCAAAAACCTACATAGCAGTTCAATTAATGTAGAAACAATTGAGAGGTTCAGGTGACTTCAGTTAAAATCTTCGGGATCTCCAATGAAAATATACATGTCTCCAAAGAAAATCTGGAGTCTCAAATTAATTTCGTGGGGTCTCCAATGAAAATATGGGTATCTGCGACAAAAATCTGGGGTCTCCAATGATAATATGGGGGTCTCCATCGAAAATCTGGCGTCTCTAATGAAAATCTAGAAGTCTCAAACGAAAATCTGCAGGGGTCTCCAATGATAAGTTTGGGGTTACCACTCTCCAACTAAAATATGGGGGTCTCCAAAGAAAATTTCTGCTACTATCGGTGTATATGGTAAACAGAAAACCTGGTTTATATACTAAATATTAATATTATCCAGGTATCTGCTGCTACTGTTGGTGTATATGGTAAACAGAGAACCTGGTTTATATACTAAATATTAATATTATCCAGGTATCTGCTGCTACTGTTGGTGTATATGGTATACAGAGAACCTGGTTCTCAGACTCCAAAGTTGGATATGATACATACGGAGAGGAGAAGGTTGAGATGAAACAGGTAAGTTAGGGTTGTTAATAAAAATTTAAAGCCTTCAAAACTGGATTCTGTTGGAGTTTGCTTAAATTAATCTTTGCAATATTTTTATTTGAAAAAAAATAAAAAATAAATTGATATAAACTACAAAAACATGCAGGTTTGTTTGAATTGTTTTATTTTCTGTCAGGTTAAAAATTTAGCAAAGTGTAAGAAAAACAAATGTTGAGAACAAAGAAATTGGGGTTTTGTCAAAAATTCTAATCTCTATATATCATTAAACCCCAATGTTAAAGATCTATCAAAGTATGAAATCTGTTACATCAAATAATATTTGAAATACTAAAGGTTTACATCATCCGGTTGCAAAGATATTTGGAGTAAAAAATGTGTGGGTAAAACTTAGCTTTTCTCACTGTTTCAAATCAATAACTGAACTCTGAAAGTAAACGAACTAATATAATGCAAAACACGAGGTATACATTTTATACTAATCCTATTAACAAAGATAATATTTAGAGGGTAGCAATAACTGCAGACCACATTTGATAAAATAAACATAGATCATACTAAATATCTATTAGACTGATTTTTAATACAATCAAGCAATGTGTCACTCTCTAGTTGTGTATAAGAAAAGGTACAAAACAAATTAGTGTTAATAACATGGAGCAATTTCAAATATTTTTAAAGAATGAAATGACAGTAATTGTAAACAATTTTTCTATTAGTTTGAAACATTTATCCCCAAGCTCATAAAACCCAAGCTTTTCATCGGAGACACACATTTTTATTGGAGACCCCAATTTTTCATCTGAGGCACCAAACTCCGATGAAAGAGGGTCTCCGATAGTAATTTAAAAATAATAATTTCTTCCCAGACTCAAATATAAAGTTTTAGGATAAAACCAAAATGCTTTAGATTCAATTTTATTTTTAAATTTATTTTTATTTAATTATTATATTTTTTTTAAATCCAACTATTTAGGTTAATCAACCAAATANAACTATGGATCAACTTAATCCAGAACTATGGATCAACTTAATCCAGAACTATGGATCAACTTAATCCAGAACTATGGATCAACTTAATCCAGAACTATGGATCAACTTAATCCAGAACTATGGATCAACTTAATCCAGAACTATGGATCAACTTAATCCAGAACTATGGATCAACTTAATCCAGAACTATGGATCAACTTAATCCAGAACTATGGATCAACTTAATCCAGAACTATGGATCAACTTAATCCAGAACTATGGATCAACTTAATCCAGAACTATGGATCAACTTAATCCAGAACTATGGATCAACTTAATCCAGAACTATGGATCAACTTAATTTCTTAAATAAGGAATTAACTAATCCCGCGCAACAAAATATAGTTTTATAATTTCTAATATTTGCAACCTGTTGAGGTCAGCTCAAACAGTCAAAGTTTGAAATATCTAATGCTTACACCATCAGGTCACAAAACATAGGAATTTTAAAATTGCTAATTGTAGTTAATATATTTCTTTTGAAATTGAAGGCTTAGATGTAAGAAGTAGCCATTATAAAATTTAAGGCCAACATTACTTTTCAAACAAAAAGCTCCTAATCAATTCCCAAATCTACATAATAAAACAAGACAGTCGTATATATGTGTTGTGTATAGCCGGTGAAATGGCTAGACCGATTGGGCTGAACATTTTTGCATGTACACGCATGGGTGGCCGAGGGGTGTTATAGGATAAAAATTCGAATTTTTTTCAAATTTTTTTTTTCAATTTTTTTTCCACGGGCAACGCCAGGTTCTTCAGCTTGTAAAAAAACTTTATTTTTTGGATTTGAAAGCCTGATTTGTATTTGTCATTGTTGTTAAATATATCATTGCAAAAAAATAAAGGAAATGGCAAAACAATCAAAACGTGTATATTTGCAAGGAATTCGCGTATTTGTTTACCGTACATTAAATGATCAGAAGTTTCTTTTAGCAATGTAAATAAATGAGTTTGTTTATATTCCTCTCATAAACTACAGCACACATTGTAAAATAACATTGCAGTACACATTTTAAAATAAGATTGCAGTACACATTATAAAAATTACATTGCAGTACATATTATAAAAATTACATTGCAGTACACATTATGAAAATTACATTGCAGTACTAATTTTAAAAATTACATTGCAGTACACATTATAAAAATTACATTGCAGTACTTATTATAAAAATTACATTGCAGTACACATTATAAAAAATACATTGCAGTTCAAATTATTAAAATTGAATTGCAGTACACATTATAAAAATTGCATTGCCGTACACATTATAAAAATTACATTGCAGTACACATTATAAAAATTACATTGCAGTACTAATTATTAAAATTGCATTGCAGTACACATTATAAAAATTACATTGGCGCTCTCCTTGACTTTCAATCTTACTGTGTCACATGCATGTCTAATTAAAATCACAAAGTACTTTTACGCTTGCTTGCTTGCTTGGATCATCAAATTAATTTGTAAAATTAACTTAAAATGGTATTTGAGAATTAATTAAAATAATTTTTATACTTTGAAATTTTGCATTAAAAGGGCTTGATGATGAATAATTAAGATTTCAATTTAATGGTGGAATACTTTTTCTTATTTTGTATTTGACTCTTTTAACTTTTTAAACTTTACTAGTAAGTTTTATCTAACAATGGTCATTTGGTGCTTTAAGCTTTTTTCAATTCGTTCGTTTACCATTAATTTGTTCGTTTTCCATTCATTTTGTTCGTTTTCTCACTGATCATTCAGTAAAATCGTTCTTTCAGTAAAAAAAAACAATAGTTAATTTTAAAAGTATGTCAGATAAAATCGTTTGTTCAGTAAAAAATCTATGATTTTAAAAAAATTTTAAAACTTTCGTTTGTTAAAAGATGTTCGCACTGCCCTTAGATCATCCATTAAAAGTTATTTTGGACTTAAATTACACTAATTTTGGTTTAGGTTTGGTTAACAATTAATAACAAAATTAACAAATTAAAACCAAAGTATATTTTTTTTATGTTCAATAATCAGTTAATTTTGAGCTACTTGCTTAAATATTCTTTTCGTTTGTTAGTTAATTAAGATTTGATGTACTTTTCAATACATCTAAATATTTTAACCTTATTCTAATTGAACCACTTATTGCTTCAATGTCCGGGTTAATATTTTTTTTGATTGTGATAAAATATTTGAATTAAAAAGTCGATATTTCAACAGCACCATGTTATACATTTTATCTACATATGTACATATGTATTGTACAACAAAGTAAATTATAATGTACAACAATTCTGTTGTAAAGAATTATTTTAAAAAAATATTTTATAAAAGCATAATAGATTTTCAATAATTCTCCTCTGCATTTAAAATATAACTGCACACAGCAAGGCCTTAATATTTCATATTTCCTTGTAAAATCCTTGCTCTTTGAATATAAAGTGTTGGTGTAATGTCCCATTTATGCTGGAAACTATATAATTTCAGTCCAGTTATGGGTGGTAGGCCAGAGATCAAAATGATTTATAGAAAAGGGAAAAATATGGAGAACTAGGCACAAGGAAAGGAATATGGAGAACTAGGCACAAGGAAAGGAATATGGAGAACTAGGCACAAGGAAAGGAATATGGAGAACTAGGCACAAGGAAAGGAATATAAGAGTATGTTGGACTTTTATTGGCGCAAAAAGAAGAAAAGTTCTGCAAAATTTGATATGTGCACATGTCTAATAGAAGCTTCTATACAGTTCAAAATTTGATATGTGCACATGTCTAATAGAAGCTTCTATACAGTTCAAAATTTGATATGTGCACATGTCTAATAGAAGCTTCTATACAGTTCAAAATTTGATATGTGCACATGTCTAATAGAAGCTTCTATACAGTTCAAAATTTAATATGTGCATATGTCTAATAGAAGCTTCTATACAGTTCAAAATTTAATGTGTGCCCATGTCTAATAGAAGCTACTATACAGTTCAAAATGATAAAATAAAAAATAATGAAACTTTCTTCCAACTTCCGATGGATATTTAAACACGATCTTACATCTAAGCCTTTAAATTAAAGTTGTCAAGTATGTGTTCCAAATTTATGTTAAATTACTGAATTTTCAGTAAATTTGTTAGTGTTATTTTGCTTACAGAAAAGAGTTATATTGTATCGGATTTTGAGTTATTTAATTTTACCTTCCATTAAGAAAAGACCCATGCCCGATTCACAACGGCGCGGTGTCCTGTACACCTTAAAATGTGGAAGGTAATTTTGTTGGTTGTTCCTAAAACAGATATACGCAAGTCTCTTTATAGAGAAACAAAAATTGAAATTATTGACTTTTAACTTGAAAGGGTACCGTTGTGAATTGTATAGTATCACTTTAATATTAAAGGGAGACTTAACATTACGTCTAATTAAACACTTTACAGGATTCCTTTGCTTTGAGAAAAAGTTTTAAAAAATCCAATACAAGATAACTCTCCTGCCCGTAATGAACTAATAAAAGTAACTCAGTCTTCCATATATATTAACCCTATCTCTGCTGGGGTACTTGAAAACCAGGATATGCTGAGGGGGGGGGGTCAATTTGACCCAACCCCCCCGCTAAATCCCATGTTTGATGTCCAAATATGACAAATGATACATCATTGGAAAGCTCTTGTGCTCTACTTTTAGAATCTCCAAAAAATTTGCAAATTTGCAAAAATTGAATTTTTTATCGCAAAATCCAGTTATAAAGTAAAAATGTTTGCAAAAAAAATTTCTCCAAAAAATGAAAAATTATACATTTTTGAAAAGCCCTTGACCATGCCATTTCAAATATGCAATTATTTTTGCAAAATTTTAAATAACCTGATTTTTAATCAAGAAAAACTAAAAATGAGCAAATTTACTTTGACAGGTTGTTTGCAAAAAATTTGCAATTTTTTCGCAAAACTTGTGCAATATATAACTGACGCGTTTCGCCCCACCATATAATTATACATGCTTTGCAGACGGTACTTCATTTGTATATGAAATATTCGGAAAAAGTTATTGTATACGCGGTAATTTTACATCAGACAAATATTTCTTATTCAAATGAAGTACAGTCTGCAAAGCATGTATAATCATATGGTAAGGCGAACCGCGTCAGTTATATCTCCCTTCTATTCCTTACTCCCTGACAAAACCCCTCTTCTTTGATGATCTGTTGTGAAAGTAAACAAGTCTTCCAAATGTAAACTGTAGTTAAAATATCATTATTTTAAGAATTTTTAGTATAATGTGAGCTATATTGTGTTTAATGTATTGTAAATTGTAATCTTAGTTACAGATGAGCATTGTTTTTTGGTTCAATTTTAAACATTTAAGTTTTTTTAATGTTTATTAAATATATTAAAATTTTTTTTGCATTCTTGATTTATCTACTCTTACGCAATAGGAATTGAGTTTTTGCCACAAACTCAAATTTTCAAATCTCTATATCTTCTGAGCGTGTAAACCTTTCATATTTTAAACTTAGATTTTTTGATCTCACAGATAAAATAGTTTGAAATATTCAAGGTTTACGCAGTTTGGGTTGCAAAGATAAAAGGATTTGAAAATCATAGTTTGTTGCCAAAACTAAATTCATTTAAGAAAAAAAGAAGATACAATTTTGATAATAAAGGAATTGAGTCTTTGCCACAAACTCAAATTTTCTAATCCCTAAATATTTGCAACCCGTTGTCAGAGACCTTAAATTTTTCAAATTATGAGTTATGTTAGATTAAATAATCTAAGTTTGAACAATCAAAGGTTTACACCATCAGTTTGCAAAGATATAGGGATTAGAAAATTTGAGTTTGTGGCAAAGACTCAATTCCTTAGCAATTTAAATTAGCATCTGTTTGAAACAAAATGTTTAAAAACCCTAAAATATCCATCTTTAGTTCAAGTATTCAGACAAGCATTCTCAGCTTTTCAACAAATAAAAGTTTCAAACAAAAACATTTTTAACAACAAAGAGTTTTAGAGAAGTGAGCTTGTGAAAGACAACAAAAGCAAAATGGAAGATGAAGAGAAAGA